TTCCACACCTTTCTGAAAGACTTTCATGATTTTCAACAGAAATGAGGAGTTCTAGAGGCGGGTGGGGGGGTGGGGGGGTAAATAACAATTGATTCATCTTATTCTAGTTTACTGCAAAAATTACAGCTCACTAGCGACCGATACGATGGCAAAAAATGTGTAATATCAACTTCACTGACAAACCTTTATTTGGCTTATATTGCTATTAATGCGCACAGAGGACCACGAGCAACTGACCAATTGTTGATTAAATACGTTTACACATGTTACATGTTTCTTCGAACACGTGTTTAAGGTCAAACTATGATCATGTCAATGGAGTGCAAGAAGGATATGGAAATAACGAACAGTATTCAATCTCAACGTCCATTAAACAAATATACAAAATAAGAGCAGACTCAGCTATGTTAAGGACCGATATGGAAAATGTGACCTTTGCGCCGTTTTGATATGTATTGCTTCTTTTAAAAAAATTTAACAAAGCAACTGAATACTTGTAGAAAATGTAATATAGCCATCAATAATGGATAGGACTGGGGCGTAATTATTAGCAGTTATATCGCACGTATCAGCTGTTTGTCACGTGACTTGTATAAAAATAGAATTGTTAAGCTGAATGTAGGAAATGGGGGTAGTGCAAGGGCATACGCTTGTTTTTCAAGAAAAAAATTGATACACATTAAAAAAGGTTTATATCCTCTACCAAAAAAGTGCTGGGAGCTAGTAAGTGCTGTTTGCGAAGTAATTAAAATTTTGCCGAAAATGCTTATTATATCTAAAAATTTCCACTTCGCTTAAATTCTGTTTTAAATAAAATTAATGTTATGCAGACCAGGATCAGCTCCCAGCACTTTTCAAAATATATACTATATGAGCAATAAATATTCCAAATTTCAGCTCAAACAAAATAGTCTATGCCCTTGCAATTGCACTTTTGATGTAAATCACGAATACGCTCATCGTTTTAGCGATATTCTCTATATTCCTTATCCCTGTGCAGCTTCAATGCTACTAGATAAATTCATATTCTATACACATTGTATTTAATAAATTATTTTCTTTTAGTTTTTATGATTAGGTCTAAAAATTAGCAATGCTATCATATCTATTTAAGCATTTTTGTAATTATTTAACCAGTGAATCTACTCCTCTGGATCACTTGTGCTGCGTCATACCATGGCTGATGACGTCATATTTGACAAAAGGCTTTCTTCTATTACTCGACCGATCGCTATCAAGTATTGCAATTTTACAAGATTTTATGAATAATCGATAAAATAAATAAATTCAAGTTGTTACTAACGCATGATCATGTTGTTAATTAATTTTTGTGGCTTGTTAAATTTCAATGACGTCACAATTAAACTTCCAATACGATATACAAAGAATGTGAACTCTGACCTTCCTTAACATAGCTGAGGAGCAAACACGGACCCCCGAAACATCAGAGGTGGGATCAGGTGCCATGGAGGAGTGAGCATCCCCTGCTGACCGGTCACACCCGCCGTGTGCTCGTTGTCATAATCAGGATATAACGGAAAAATCCGTGGTCAATTTAGTGTATAAATAATGGACTAACAATTCGTATGAAAAACGTCAGTCAGCATTTCATTCAATGATAAATGGTATTTGCTGACAAGGTCATTGTATCGACCATAGAATTTACGAAATGATGACTTTAAACGAGACTGTTGATATTCTTGTTTCATCAACTTGCTTGTCAATAATTTACCTCGTTTAAGAAATTGTTCATACGTAGAGCATGCTCTTGCGTATCGAATCAACTGAGATATAAATACTCCGTATGCAGGTGATGAAGGTATATTGCTGCATAAGTAAGATAAAAAAATGTTCTTATGAGCAAAATGCAAACATTAAAAACTATGAGAAATATCACGGGTGTTTTTATATTGTTGTTAACTAGAGAAAAATTTCAATACAATGTATATGTAGTTAGTGTAAAGTTCAGAACGCCAGCACTTCAAGAGTAACGCAAACAAGCAGCTTCTCGTACATTTAAGTAGACAAACCGTTTTTACATAACCATACTCGTGATCACGTGTGTTGGCCAGGGAGTCCACATGACAATTGTATTCACCGATAGTAAAATAAAGGAAATCATCAAGCGTAAATTTCCTGTAGTATTCATATAGTAACCCATAATGCAATTTTCATTCATCTGATTTGTCAGTTAAAGTTACATTGGTGCCTCATTTGCTAGTCTGACGCCAAAAAATATAGTCCTGGTTCCCATGCAAAATATTTGTCAAAAAAGAAATCCTAGTTCATAACAGCAGAAAGTTGTATCATAAAGAATTCTTATAATTTTTTAACTTAAATGAATTCAAGAAAGATCGATTGAAGTACATTTCTAGAGAATGATATTAAAGGGTGGTGAAAATTAAAACGCAACATAACTTTTCTGTTTACCATGTTTCCACGTGCCAGTCACTTCCTAGCCACATTTCCATGAATAATTTACCCTCTCGCTGAAGTCTCCCTAACTCTCGCCAGAGCCACTGTCAAAGCTACTCTGAACTCATCGGGTTTTATAATTTGCAGAACACCGAAAAATAAAAGGTTCCGAACACATTAGTAGGGATTAGCAGTGATTGATCACTCCTCCCTGGCACTTGATCCCATCTCTGATGTTTTAGAGGTCCAAGATTTCTCTGCTCCTATTTTATGTTGTTTTATGGACTTTTGATCTTAATGAATACTGTTTGTTATCTCCGTATGTTTCATGTTAATTCAAAATTAGAAATGAATTAATATTTAGTTGGTGCTTATTATATAAGGGGGATATACGAGGATTTGATTATCCTTTTGAAATTACCCACATTATATTTTCAAAGGAGAACGAATTTTTCATCTAATGGCAAAATGTCTATTGATATAAAAGATTTGTGGTAAAATTGAAATAGAATTTAAAAGAATCAGTAAAACTAAACTTCCAAATAGAATAATTTTATTATGAAATTTCAGTTTTATTATCATTTTTGTACTCGCAATATAGAACTTATGTAATATTAAAAAACAATAACAGCTCAACTTAATAGAAAAAAACCTGGTTAATTCGACAATGCGGTCTTAAAAGGCATTATTTGTAACCACTTGAATTATTTTTTTATATGTGCTTCTTAACTACATAAGTTTTAAAGGATTATCAAAAGAATAAGGTCGGTGCAAGTAAAGGGAAACACTGCAATTTTTACTATTCATTGAATTTTGGTTTATTACGGGAAAAAATCAACCTTTATTCAAATTGTAAGTTTTATCAAATGAGGAGAAACAAAAAATTTTTTTGATATTCCAACTTTACTATGCATTATTTCGCTCCTTGCATAAAAACCTTATACCCATCGTCGGTATCAGTTATGACCAGCATTGGGCATCCGACGATGTCCTATACATAGACTTAAGGATATACATACTATAGACAACATTTTCTATTCTCCAAAACAGAAGAGTCAAACTAGCACATGTAATATTTCAGTAAAAATGTAAATCAGAAATTTGAATTGAAAAAAAAGAAACCCTCGGCAAGAAAATCATACATTTTATTTTTAATTTTCGAACAAAACATATTGATCTGTAAATTTGCAATCTTGCAAAATTTTGTGGCTTGGCCAAACATTCAGTTGATAAACTTAAGACATTTGACTTTAAAAGTGAGTGGAACCAAATTAAGCAAAGACATAAAATTTAAATTGTGTAATTTATTCTTTACAAACATGCGGAATGGTGGATGTCTTTTGGACGAGACCTTAAAAATCGACAAGGAAGACGTTTGCACAAATGAGATCTCTCTGTTCAGTTTCCCCGTGTTCCACGGGTCGAAGATTGACCCTTTCATGAAATATTGTTAAGTCTCTATCTGAGTTGAAAATTCCAGGAAGTAATTCTATAACAACACACAATCAACCAATTTATCGCAAGACACTGAAACAGAAGAAGAATAGTTTTAACTGTGAATACCAGAGCAGAGGTCAGAAGATATTTTAGGAGTTGATAGAAGATCTTTTAAAATATACAATGCAAGTTTATTGATCTTCGTTTGTGTGTTAAAACTGTGGTATATAATTATAATTATTATGATATAATTATATTTAATTATGCGATAATAAAAAAAAAGAGGAAATACTATATGAGCATTTAAGTGTACAAAAAGTTCAAAAAAGGAGTATTTTTTCTTTCTTAATAGGATTGAATGAGAAATATGAATGCCAATCAGGAGAACAGAACAGGTTTTAAAAAAAAAATTCTGTGGAATTATAGTTTAATTTGTAAGCATTTATTTGACACACTGTAAAATTACTATTTTTAATTTGGCTTTTAGTGAAATTTATCTCTATTTAATGTAATTCATCTGAGAAGTTGTCAAACAAGTTATGATGACAAATAAATATTGAACATTGCAATCTTCTTAAAAAAAAAAAAAAAACCAATTGCCTCAGCTTAAAATGTTTAAAGAAGAAACAGTTCTCCTTCTGCTTAGTTAGCAAAATCGTACCTTTTGTCAAGAGTTTTAAAAAATTGTCTGAAAACAGTAAAGAAAGATACATGTATTTATTAAATTTTATTTCTACAGAAACAATATATGCAAATAAAGAAAGAACAAAAGAATCAATAAATTGGATTTTAAGTATTCCAGTAACCAAGTTTGAGTGCATGCTCAAAAGTGTGAATTACTTTTTTTACATAAGAGTAGCAATAATACACGAATATGTAAAAGCGGTTTAAGAATACACAGACTCTGTGCCAATTGTGTTATCAAATGGTATAGAAAAAGAACATTCGACGTTTTACAATCTAACTCTCGTGTTCCCTTTAGATTACCTCAGTGTAGCTCGAGATCAATGTGGAAAATCCAATAGAATTCAATGTACGGGGGATTTTTATACATGTATAATGATTTCAGCAATGAATAACATGTATATTGCATATTAATATTTTATATTCATAGGTTATTGATAAAATTCTGCTGAACTTACAATCCTAATTTGATTGGGGCCTAGCATCGTGCATAACAAATATTTCAGAGAGTTTAGAAAATTCTTTTATCAATTGTTGTTCAGATTATTTGGTAAAAAATTATTCAAGCAAGTCAAACGAGGTTTCAAAAGTTTCTCCGGTTTCCTTGACTGTCGACGACACCTTGATTTCTGTCATACCGAAAGTATAATGTTCTTCTGCTTCCCATTTGCCCTGGATGTATTCAGGTACAGAAACGTTCAGCTTGCCAACAAGTTGAAAGTTGTCTTTAATCACTGCAGGACCGTTTTCCTCTGTGCAATATAAGCGCAAAACGTAACCTTTCTGATCATCATAAAGTGGAACTGCCGTATGAGTTAATGTTTTCCCAGATGAAGGTACTTTTGTATCTCTGGCGATTAGCTGGTCGAAGGCATCGTTACATCTTTCAATGCCTTTTTTATCGATATATCGTTTTTCTTCCGGATGCTTTGTTGAATCAAAAATGGCATGTACTGCAGGACCATAGGAATACCGTAAAATTCTTGACGATATCGCCATAGGATCATGTCCAAATAGTACTGCACCCTTGATAACAGCCAAGCTACACTCATTGGGTATAACAATATTTTTGTTCGAAAACTCTTTTTTGAATGTTTCTTGTAACAAACTACACTCGCCATAACCACCAACAATGAGAATATGTTCTATATTTGTGACAGTTTGTAAAATTTCCATAACATGTTTTTTAGTTTGACTTAATGAGTCTTCGAAAAAACTCATCATCATTCGAGCAGAAATTTTCACCTTGTCTTTCACAATTTTTACTTGATCTTTTAAATAGGATGCCTGAATAGCTTTCATTTTATCTTGGTCAGAGCAGTTTTGGTTTAGTATAGCTGGCAATTTTGTAACAAAAGACATCTGAAAATCTGGATTGATTGAGCGCTTTTTGTTTTCAAATTCTTTGAGAATTGTAAAATATTCTCCCATATCATGAAATTTGAGCTTTTCAAGTGCTTTTTGTCAAAAAATTGTATCGTATATTTTCAGGTATTTTTCATCAACGTAAATCCCTCCATACGGCCCTCCACTCGCGCGATAAAGTTCTGTCAATGACCCATCGTCGTCAACTTGATGAACACTAAAGTCAGCTGTGCCACCTGAAAGATATTACCATGATACACAAATGTATACAGGATATTTATAGATTTTGTAGTTCGATAGCTGTTTTAGCCAATTACTTGGATGAAATAGTGAATATTCGCGAGGCTTGCCGAGGCAATATTCATCGTTATAATTCATCGATGGATAAATCAAATATCAAATCACACAATGATTTTTTTCATACTATTTTCGTTTTTAACAAAACTTTTAAATAAACCCCGTGAAATTATGAATGAAATATTCAATGATGCAATTAATTGATGACATCTTACTGTTGATGTTTAATTTAAAACAAAATAAAAGAACTTATTAAATGAAAGGAATAGTGATTTCTACTCTGAAATCATGATTTGTATGGTGACAATGCGCTAGACTAGGCCTCCTTGTAATATATTTGTGATTTTACTACAATTAAATTTCATTTTATCGAGAAACGCTTTCCACTGTATTCATGAATTGATCGTGATGACGTAATCTTTTGATGTTATTTTCATCAGGTTAAGTCAACATTTATTCATATAAGTATTTCCCCATATCCAAATTAAAATAAATGCATTTTCCCAATTGGGTGCGTTATCCATATTCTTTTATTTGTCTTGAATATAATTTCTGTCAAACTGATAATTTTGTTTATTTTGTTACCTTGAATAAGTCAACCTTTCTAAAACATCCGTAAAAGGCATATCTTTGCAGGTTAATTTTCATACAACACGTTTCAGAGCACATTCCTCTAAAACCTTAACAGTTAAAATGGAAAATTAAGAACCGTGGTTGCATATTTAATTTAGTTAATGCCTAATTTAATCACATCAAATTTATGTTCAAACTAATGAAAATCAAAAATATTTATTTGCCAAGAGATATTTGAAATCACCATTGCAAAAAATTAACGTTGAATCTGTCAATATCTTTCACAAAAGAAATCTAAAAATATCTTCATCTTTTATAATTCTCATAATCTTACGGTTTAAATGCCATTTTCCTTTAAAACTATTAAGAATAATACATAACGTGCACAAAAACACATTCTTGATTATGTTTGACCAGAGAATTTAAACAAAACAGTCTTTTGAAGACGTATACCCCCATTTTTTTTCTATTGTTCTTCGCAAAATTATGAAAAAGTAAAAAAAATTTGGATAACAAAGGGTTAAAATAAAAAAAAAATATTTATATATCTCAAGTTAGTTTGCGTAATAGAAAATTAAAAGCTTTAGGTCTATTAAGGCACCTGAGCCGAAGTCTCAAGTGAGCTTTTCTGATCAAAATTTGTCCGTCGTCGTTGTCGTTGTAAATTTTTCGCATTTTCATCTTCTTCTCAAGAACCACTGGGACAATTTCAACCAAACTAACCACAAAGCATTATTGGGTAAAGGGAAATCAAGTTTGTTCATATGTAGTGAAGAAAATTGTGAATTAATGAAAAAAATGTCATTTTTAAACAGACTTCTTCTAAAAAATCACTGGGCCAGGAAAAATGAAACTCGTGTAGAATCATTCTCAGGTAGTGAAGATTTATATTTGTTGAATTCATGACCCCTGGGAATAGGGTGGGGCCATGATAAATGATCAATGTTTTGCATAGGAATATATAGGACAAACTTTAAAAATCTTCTTCTCAAGAACCATTGGGACAGAAAAGATGAAACTCATGTTGAGTCCTCCAGGTAGTGTAAATCTAAATTTGTTCAAATCATAACCCCCGGGCGTAAGATGAGACCACAAGTGACGATCAAAGTTTTACATAGGAAAATATAGGAAAAAATCTTTTGAAAACTTCTTCCCAAGAAGAATTGGGACAGGAAAGACAAAACTCATGTTTAATCATCGTCAGTTGGTGAACATTCTAGTTTGTTCAAATCATGATCCTCCGGGGTAGGACGGGGCCACAATGGCCAATCAAAGTTTTACATAGGAATAAAAAGGACATATCTTTAAATAAAAATCTTCTTCTTAAGAACCATAGGAACAGTAAAAATGATACTCGCATTGAATCAATCTCATGTAGTGTACATTCAAGTTTGTTGATATCATGACCCCCAGGGATAGGGTGGGGCAAAAATAGCCAATCAAATTTTTACATAGGAATATTTAGGGAAAAATCTTTAAAAATCATCCTCTCAAGATCCATAGGGACAGGAGAGATGAAACTCATGTTGAAACATCCCCAGATAGTGTTCATTCAAGATTGTTCACATCATGCCCCCCCCCCCCCCCGGGTAGGGTGGAGCCATAATATCCGACCCTCAGTGAAACAATTCTGATCTGATTTGTGCTTTTTCTTAGCCGGTGTGCTAAGGTGAGCGATGTGGCCCCTGGGCATCTTCTTTTCAAATTGCTGTAGAAAACAAAATTTTTGCGGCACTTTATTTTCGCGAAATAGTCATTCATGTAACTATTAAGGAGCATAACAAAAAAAATTTCACGATTTGTGGTTATTGTTGTAAAATCATTGTAAATAGTACTTATATATATGCAAGAAAGATATTTCACGATCACGCTGTCTCGCTTAGTTACGCATAAATAAAGTTCTCGTGAATAAAAAAGTGATTTACTACATAACAAACCATAAAACATGCGTGTTTGACTATTTTCAGCAAAATGTTAAAATATGAGCACAGTCCACGATCTTCATAAACAGATATTTCATTATGTAAATATTTGCATATTTTGGATCAGAAGTTGTGCTCTATATGAAATATTGAAAAAAATGCAAGTATAATGTTAAATATTGTAGCATACCTCCAATATCTGCCACTAAATATCTGGTGCCAGGAACACTTATTGTTTTTCCCGTTCCATGTTTAAGATTTTCTAGAGGGACTCGTTGACAGTAGACTGAGGCTGCTTCTGGCTCCAAAGCTAGCACTAAGCTATCATTTCTTATACCGGCCTGTATAATCATTATGGTTAAATATTTACAATAGAAGTGTATTATATTTACTTAAATGGCAAAAACACAGGCACCTGAGGAATCGATGGTGTTTAACCTCCAAACTACTGAAAAGTTTTAAGAGGCACAAATGTTTATCAATAATACGATTTCCAGTTCTATCATTCTTATATTTCGATATCTGATATCATTTTCGATTTTTGTTTAGATTAAGAGACTGACTTTATACGGTATATAAGAATAATTAATGAATTACATACATAACTGTGTTTACTAAAAATTATCAGACGCTGGGGGTTGGGGTGGGGAGTTGTTAAACCATTTTTGCATCAGGTGCCCGTATTAAAAAACGGTATAAGTATGTTTCTGCCCTCCAAGAAATTACTACAAAATTCTGCGAGTACAATGTTCTTGTATTTCTTTTTGTCTGTAAAACATACTTTTTAGAACTTAAATATAGTGGATAATTTGTTTATTTTGTTCGGGTATAAATAGATATCAAATGTTTGAATAACATAATATAAACCTACTTCAACAGCTGCAGTTCTCATAAACTCTTTTGAACGATCATTCCAAATGGAAGGAATCGTCAAGACAAATTTGATATCCGTTTGTCTGGTTTCTACTCCTCTGTCTCGCATCGTTTTAAGACAATGATCTTTAAGGTATTTAATAGACAAAGAAAATATTTTCATGGCTGATAACGATTTGCCAGAAACATCTTTAATGCATAAATCTTTTTTCACATTCTGAAAAAAAAAAACATTTATCAAAATAAGACAGATACATATGTACGCCACTATACATGTAGTTGCAGAGAATAAGTAAGCGATATAAATAACCATGCATTATTTTCAATAAAATTTGGATTCTAGAATCATTAATAAATAGCATGTACAGAATGGATCTCGTTGATTGAAATGATGCTCGATTCAAGTCAAATAGGGATCGAATAAGAGCAAATATGATTTCATCTTTTCAATTGCTGAAATCCATAATGTTTTTTTTAATAAAATTCATGCAATTTTAATTTAAAAATCTTAAAATCTTTAATATTTTCAATGTTTCAGCCATGAAATGATTGATATACTCCTCAGCTGAACCCACTGCAGGGTTTCCTGGTCCTACAATGCAATAGGTACATGTCTGAACGATCAATATCAATCAATTAAAAAATCGTCGATTGCAATTGGTTATTGTGAAAAAAAACCAAAACAAATATTAATTTTAACCTAATATTTTGTTAAGGACAGATGATACAAACAAAAAACGGATGCCTGGATTGGTATATATTTTTTGGCCTTATTCCATTGCAAATGATGCAAATAATAAATTTCTAGAAAAATAAAGAAAATGTAAACTTTCTGTGATGGTCAAAAGTCTGCCCATCTGAAACCATCCTTATTAATCTATACAAATATTTTTCACTTCAAATTCCATTTTTGTGCAAATTTGAATGAAAACTTAAAAACTACGCGGTTAAAGTTATTCATTTTACTTATTTAAACATGACACAAATTGTTATTTTCAAATTCTTTGACAAAAGTTTGTTTGTATCATCTGTCCTTAAAAAAGAAATCTTTACATTAATATTGATAATTCAGAGTTTTCACATATCCAATCTTAATTTGATGTATCTATAGCTCTCCAGATTGAGATCGTAGGCAATGGCATAGTCATTTTGTGTTTGAAGTGTTTAATTCCTGCAAGAAACCAATGTCGTTTCCATGTCCTTCATTATTTCTTTAATTTCAATTATATATTCCCACTTCAAATAAGAATTGGAGTGTACACAATCTTACCCTAGACTTTGTATGTCTATGTGTCCGTTCGTAAGGTTTTCTAAGCAACAACTCATTGCAAGAAGCTTATTTTAGCACTTTTCTGAGGCGTACTATATGAGTAATTTATATAACTTTTATTTATGATGTAATTACATAATAAACTGCTTGTTTTCTTAATAATTGATTCAAGCAAAAATGTTTACATTATAATTCAATAGAATAATCCAGTAATGAACAAATACCTCAATTGTCAAGCTCCGCCTAATGAACTGAACTACGCCGTTTATATGCACACGTGTACATTGTTGATTGAGTTTAAAGGAGATAAAATAGTAATCGCATAATGAAAAAAAAATCATGTTTTTTTAAATAACAACATAGATGGAATAAACTCTGTTTAGATAATGCTTCAAGAGTGATTAATCATACAATAAAGAATTCGAAACATGGTGAAACATACCACAATCTTGCACGATCTTGTAAGATAATAGCATTTGCTGCATACATACTAGATGAATTTTCATGTTTTATTATCTGAACTGATACATGTATGCATTGTAAAACGGCGTACATGTAGTTTGGATTATATGAAGTCTTGTATTACACACCTGGTTTATATTTATAAAATTTTAAAACAATTAATGATAATTTCTTCTTTTTAAAACATGTTCAATCACCTTAAAATGAAGATCCATTTTAAATCTCTGGAAAAAGAAGTACTCGAGGTGCTCATCTTCAGTGGCCAGTGAAGCGTACAATTCTTCGGCCTTGAATCCAAATGCATTGAAAGTCTGGTCTGGATTTAACAGTAAACATGTAGGAGTCTTCATTGAAGACATTCCTCCTTGTCCAGAATACCATATTCCTGGGGAATAAAATGTTAATGGATCGCCACTCATCGAAAACGCGTAACCACTGTATGTTGTCCCAAAATCTATAGCAGCCACTATCCAAGCGTCGCCACCCGTATTCAACGCCATTACTTTTACTTGTCAACCTTTGCCGTACAGAAAATGTTTAGCAGTGCAATAGTATGCTTTTTTATCAGTATATGAATCCTTTTCTTAAAGGTAGATCATTCCCCTTATCGGGAATTTAAATTTTTTCGTTGACGTTCACTGTTACTTTTTGATATAAACAGTATCGATTTTAATTTAAATGCACACAATTCTATATCTTTGCGGAGTAAACATTGACAAAAAGATATGCCTAAAATAGGTTTTGAAGTTTGCTAGTAAACCGTAATATTTTAGTTTAATTAGAAAAAAAATAAATCCCAAATAATATTCATTTATTTAAAAAAAAATACTGAACTTTCTATTCATCATCACATAGTTCATTCATTTCATGGTAAGAAAAACTTTCAATTTTTGAAAAGTAATGAACTCTTTATACTTCAAACTATTTTTGTAGAAGGAAATTAAATCAATGTTTGAAAAAATTGTATCAAATTTAGAACAAAGGGATATTTCAATTAAAAGGCGTGTCCAATGACATCATATAAAGCAGAATTATTTCATTAGAAAACTTTGATTGTCCTTTTATTCTTAAATTGGTTAAAACTAGACACATACTATTAACATAAAGTTTGATTGTTTCTAAATCTTTTTTTCTCATAGTTTTAAATTGTTGGGAAGAAAGGGATCATAATCCCGCGCTTTATAAACTTGGATACAGTAGCCGTATGCATACTAACATAAAATTAAAAAGAACAAGGGTGCATTTGATAACCATTCGGCGGAAATCCGATAGTTCTTACTTTCAAAGTAAAAAAAATATATATAGAACTGAAAAATTAATCTTAGCATTCTTATGATGTATTATGTTGCTATGAAACAGGAAAGGAACTATTTTTCCTATATAGTATGTTTGATTTTCTTATGAATAACTTGAAAAATTGCTAGTTAGTTGTATCATTTGGTACAAAAATTATATTCGGGTTGATACCTGTGTGTACATGTATCTCAACGATTTTAAAGAGATTTTCAAGTGAAATTGTATTGTAAGAAACATGTAAAAAATAATGGAGAAAGACCATGGGGCTATAAAAATTAAGTTTTTGTTCCTAAAACAAAAGCCAATGTGTAATTACGTTGCTTCTTTTTGTCGTTTTAAATTCCTGTAGCGATAATAACTCATTGGTAAGCTGCATCAAGAAGTTTTTATTCGATTCTCTCAAAGCATTTAATTTTTTTTTATACGAATTAAACAATAAAGTTTCTATCGGTCTTTTTACATTACATTTACTAAATTATAGAAAGTTTAAACAAGAAAAGCTTTGGTTCATTAGTAAGCGACGAATTGGAATCATTATATATATATATATATATATATATATATATATATATATATATATATATATATATATATATATATATATATATATATATATATATATATATATAAAGCACAATTTACAACAACTCTTAAACTAATATAACTGCCCTAAGTGAAGAAATATTAATATAGAAAGCACAAAGAAATTCACTTTTACATGGATACCCACTTCCGCCCCAGCCCGGGGTTGAACTCTCGACCTACGGAATCTGTCTCTATATATATATATATATACACGAGGGTTGTCCGTAAAGTTCGTGGACAACATTGATAATTACTGACAAACATTGATAAAATATATGAAACTATTATTTTCACTAAATTCATGTTTCATTTTTTTTGATACGCAAGTTTTCAACAAAAACAAAGCACAAATAGTCATATTTTTATCAAATACAAAAAAGACCCACACTCATTCCCGGAGCACTAAAACGAAAATCCTTGACGTTACCTGACGTCAAAAGCTTAATACGAGTACATGTAACTTTTTTTTCAATATAGTCACTGTTTAACTCAATACATTTCTTATGTTGCTTAATCCAGTCATAAAAATGTGCACAAAATATCTAGGTTTCATACGTAAAATAATATTTAACAATGCCTGTCTCATTACTTGCAATCATCCTACCTCTGTCCGCGTAAAAACGACAATATTTAAGGAAATACGACAAAGTCACGTTACGAAATTAACTTTTTACAGCACCGCAATCTCGGAATGATGGTTTTCCTTCACGCATGTCATCCTTTTGAGTATTCCTTCCGTTTGAAAAATTTTTTTTCAACTAAATACTTATGAACTGCTTTCTTTACCATATTTTCCCGACTGTTTACAGCATTTAGGAGGTCTCTGTTGGTTTTTTTCCGATGTCTACGCAGAATTTTATCACTGCTCACTGCTCCGCCTATTCCGAAAACGTCCCTTTTTCGAACAAAACCGATCTTGTCTTAATATATTCTAACCTAGATTTCTCAGCAAATTCTGAACTCTGAACATTCAAATTTTGCAGGTTTGTAGTTATAACTTTTGTCAACCTCGTAATGTAAAAGCAATCCGAATATCTACAGAATTTTACAAAATACAAATGAAATTTATAAAGTGATATATAACTTTTTAATTAAAATTTTGCTGTGCTCCGGGTCACCATCCCAAGTCTGATAATGAAGCCATTATTATGATTATCAATTTGAAATTGAATATTATTTTACATTTTGTAATTGATATTTAATAAAGGATTGTAAATATGTTTATAATAAATATCAATGACACCATCTTTCTTTAAATTTGAGCATGTCCACGAACTTTTCGGACAACCCTCGTATATATATATATATTTATATATATATATTTTTGCAAAGCTACTGCTCAAGACATTATTTCATATATCATACCCTATTATCCTGATAGGTGTTTTTACTTAATAAGTGAAGTGTTACCATGTTATTGTGTCTCATATGTTATCTATTAACATACTGTAAATGGACTACATATTATTTAAATGTGAACTCTATTTCAATGTTAATATTAAAAAAAAATCCGGGTCTGTTTACTTATGGTAGCAGAAAAAATACTTAACATATTACACTATTAATGTTTCGTATACATAATTGCTGCAGATCGAATGCCTAGAAAGTACGTATATCTGAAAATAATGTTTACTGTCAAACCTTGATTATTGATTCTATTAATGAAGTGCTGCTATTTTAATCAGTATATTACATTATTTTCAGTGCTGTAAAATAAAAAAAAGCTACCATCTATAAGAGGTATATTTCAATTTACATTTTTGCAGGAGTTATTTCTCTTCAATACATTTTTATTTGAGAGAAAAATCTATTATGAAAAAGTTGCATCTAAAACAAGATCGACTCCTGTAAAAATATATTGTGTGATAAAACAAAGAAATGTTTCATTTTAGCAATATAAAGAAACTAACTATAATATCGTTTTATGTAAACTTTATAAGTAATTTATAAGCAAACGAAGATAGAATTAAATGCTTTTAACAAAGTTCCGATTTGTTTGAATTGTCTTCACTCGAAAAGAAGATGCCTTCCAAACAAGATGACCCTATAGAATACTTAAATTCAGGCCGAACAAGATCAGCAATAAGGAGCTGTATGAAAGAACACACACAATCGCATCTCTGACCAGATTAAAGAGAAACGATGGAAGTAGATTGGTCAAGTCATGAAAATGAAATCCTCAGATAAACCAAGGGTAAGCACGAGAGTGTCTCCACCAGGAAAGAAAAACAGAGCGTGACCGAAGGAAACATGGCGACGACAATCGGTAGAAAAAGAAATAAAAGATCGAAAATGGACTTAAAGCATGGTGCAGTCGATGTCCATAGACAGACAGTGATTGAGAACATCAGTGCAGGCCTTATGTTCTCAAAGCACCACTAGAAATAAGTAAGTAAGTATACAACGCCCGTTCTTCTTTTACATGTTGATTTCCGAATATTTCTTTACATAAATGCATTCAACTTCACAGGATTTTTAGGATGTAAATGTTTTGCATTTTTGATTTCCATCACCGCCTGCATATAAAAAAAGAAAGCATTGATGGCAATGCGTTGCTTAACGTCAATATTGTGGCGTACTGACAGCCAGTATACCATTACATGATTTTTTTTTCATGTTAATACAATTATGATGATGAATAATCCAGTATAAGTAGAGGGTAATGTTCTCATTCTTGTTGTTAATAGAATTTATAACTAAAATTCATATTTGTAAAACTTACACATTCTTGAAGTGAACATTGAGGGTGAATAACATTTCAAAATGTAGGATTTAAACCAAGAAATATACTTAAAATAACAAACAACGACGATATTGTATTGAAGCCTGTCAACTAGGCACATTGTATTTCTTTCTAATTCTTTATCAAATTCGATTTAGTAAAAGCTAATTTGGTTTGCTTATCATCTTTCACATTCTAAAAGACAATGTTATATACATATAAAACACTATAAATTCTGATAAAGTATTAAGGACAGATGATACGAGTACAAACAAAAAAGGATCCTTGGATTGGTATATATTTTTGACCTAATTTCATTGCAATTGATACAAATAATAAATTTCTAGAATATGATATAAATATTGCATGTAGTTGAGAGTAACATTGAAAATTTTCACCCCAAGAAAACCATTGTCAACCGAGGCGCAGCCGAGGTTGACAATGGTTTTCGAGGGGTGAAAATTTTCAATGTTACACTCAACTACATGCAGTATTTATTATATTATACTGAATGTTTTATACAAAAACATATTACAGTGAACCGTGCGCGCATAAATCCGCGCAGTCGCTATTTTTTTTTTTTTTTTAGAATACCACAAGCAATGTTGACTGTTGCTACGCAGGAGGGCGTGGCTTCATTATTCAGCGGGTAGTAGTGTTTTTTATCAAATGTTTCTCGACGAATCAGATTCAAGTAATTTACATGAAAGTTTAATATAAAGAAATTGTAAACCTTCTGTGATGTTCAAATTCTACCCCTCTGAAACCATCCTTATTATTCTTCAAATTCCATTTTTGTGGAACTTTGAATAAAATTTATAAATCTACGAGGTAAAACCTATTCGTTTCATTCATTACAACATGACCCAAATTGTTTATTTTCAAGGTAATTGACAAAAGTTTTTTTGTGTC